CTAAGGTCATGGTTATAGGAATAAACACATGGTTAAGGCTACAGAATGATCATGGTCATAGTTAATAGAAATAATGCTGATGGTTGGTTTGAAACAAGAAGGGTTGAAGTCCCAGTGTTTTGTCAACCCATCCATTCACCCACCCCGACCTCCTCCCTATGTGGACTTTGTCACTTGATCACAGCGTCACCTGACTTCCTCTTCTGCTCCCGTCATAAGTCGCTTGACTGTAAACTTGCTTGTTCTGGGGCTTTTGCTAAGAAGACTGTTGCTGTCTCACACAACTGCTAGATGTCATGCAACAATAAAATGTAACTGTGTGTCATAATAGGCTGCTTGCACAAATGCCCTGTGGGGTCCTTTTTTATGGGAGCAAAGCAGGAGATAAATCTGGATCTGGATCCAGTACCTCTCAAATTGTGACCAGCACCTGTTTTAACAAACCAAGCACCTTATTTACATATGAAAGAAAAGGGCTATATGAAAAATATATGAAGAGTCCAAGTCTAATACTTTTTGTCCAACCAGCTTGTCACAGTAGTCTAAAAGTAGGATAATTAAATGCAATATAAACAGACAGTTAGTCTTATTATATCACAGTGTAACCAGGGCCTGTTGCACTGCACATCCAGTTTAACGTTTGCAATGTAAAAGAAGTGAAAATCCCAAAAACACAGGCAAATTACATAAATGAAGATAAGAACATGTTTATTTAATGCTACTGCAATATCCACTCCCTGGTGTGCTTTAATATTCTGAATATAATGTTAATGTTCCCAAATATTAGGCTGAAGGCTGTAGCCTCACAGTCCTAATGTGTTTAGCATCACTCGTGCTTGACGTTTATAACTGGCTCTTTATTGGTCTCTACAAACACACAACAAATTGCTTTTGCCTCTAATCTGCTCTCTTAATGTGGGAACTATTCCAGGGTACTGGTCACTGAGGAACCTTTCTTCATTCAGGGACCTCCGCTCCCCACACTGACATGCTGGGTCCATCATCAAATGACATTCTGGGACCTCATAATTTACAGATTATGGACTGGAGGACAGTCTCACGCTGCTATCAATCTGCTTTTGTCAAACTTTTACAAGAGATCTGATATGTAACACATTCATTACACCACAAGAAGACATTTTCAACAAATCAGTAAAACTGTTCTTAAACTTTCTTAAACACTTTAAATCTGCTTTGGAGTTTCTGAAATCACATTGCGACGAGTGTTTAATTTGATTGATTAATTAATTTACTTACAATCAATTCCCCAGGGTTGTGGTTCTTGTTATGCACACTACAATATTATTTACTTTACAATAAGAACTAAAGTGATGTTTTCTATATGGATAAACATCTGTATCTTATCCTCACCTTCTGCTTGGTTTCTACAGTGTGACAATAGTTTAAATCTCTGTCTGTCCTGTCTGTAATAAGTTATGTGTGACAGCCATATTTTCACAACTGTACCCATTTAGACAGAGTCACTCCCCTGCAGCAGTTTGAGCATTTAGCACTTTGCCTGCACATCAGAGTTAAATTGATGGCACTTTAATGCTTCAAACTATTTTCCTCTGGAATATTAATCAGTGGTCTTGTTCTTTTAAACTTACAGCCTACTCTATTAAACTATATGTTATATATGTTATACAGCCACATTCTTATGTTTTAGACTATAAAAACAGTATTGGAAAAATTGGAATTTAAGGTATGGTGTTGCAGCACCGAGGTTCCACTTGTGGAGGGTTAAAGCAGCCATTATCACTGCTTCCCTCATCCTCGACAAATGATTTTATCGCTCCAGTCAGCAGAAATTGCCTTCTTCAACATAAAGTACAATGCTAATGAATGCTCTTTGAAAATAGAGCTTGTCAGAGAGATGTTTTTCTCCTCATTACCTTGTCCTTCACAACGCTCTTTCCATCCCAAGCCCAACCGCGCTTTGTGAAGTAATTGACAGTGGCAAACTCGATCAGAGCGGAGAAGACAAAGGCGTAGCAGACAGCAATGAACCAGTCCATGGCAGTGGCGTAGGCAACTTTGGGAAGGGAGTTTCTCGCACTTATGCTCAGTGTTGTCATTGTGAGAACAGTGGTTACACCTGGAAACACACACACACACACACATACACATAGATCTCATAAAGTTCATAATAAAAAGATTGTTTTATTTAACACACACAATACTGTAATGAAGCAGGCAGACCTATTACTGCAAATCTGAAACATTAAAAGAAATTCCATGAAAATGAAATCAACATAATGAAACATTTTACTCTACTGTGTGTGGAGTAGGATCGACTGTGTAACTGTTGTAACTATTAGCCTGGGGAGTTAGGATGATTCTAAGGGCCCACGAACTCTGGGGGCCCACAGAGACTAGCTTTGGGTGAGGTAGAGGGCCCAACTTCAAATTTTTTCATAGGGCCCAAAACTGCTAGCGGCGCCCCTGCTGACGTCACTGTTATTTGTTCCACTTGGCTTACAAACAAGCATAGCAGCTGGACTGATAAAGCACTGGAGCCTGTTTTCACCTCCACCCACAGTTTGTCATCAACTTTCAACCCTTTGCTGTATTCATCCTCCATGCTGACAAAGGCGAGCGTAAAGTCCATGTCCCATTGTGGAGTCCCAACCTTCATAACACTGCATCTAAATGACATCAGTGCCACTGGGAATTGGGGTATTTCTAAGACAGATTTATTGCCTATTTGAAATGTAGTTCTTTGTGAACAGAAGAGAAGAGAAAGAAAGTCAGACACTTACCAAACACAGTCCTAGCTGGCACCGATTCTCTATTCAACCAGAAAGACACTTGGGAAAGAATGACTGTCATGATGCATGGAAGGTACGTCTGGATTACGAAGTAGCCAATCTTTCTCTTCAGATGGAAATGAGCTGTCATCACTGTGTATACACCTGTGCAGGCAAGAATCTAGGTTAATTTAAAGCACCACCTCTTCAACTGATTCTACTACCACTGAGAATTTGGCATTTGTGGCCTATACTTTTATTTGCCTACTGCATTTAATGAATGTACATATATACAGTATAATCTGTGCTTTGTAGATGTAGCACACCACTCTCTGATAATATATACTATGTGGATTTCAGGTGAAATAAATGCATTTACATTCATTTAGTCTTCTTCTCTGCCAGAAAGCTACTGATCTTTTTATAAGAGTTCTCCACTGACTTAGCATTTCACTTCTATGACACTATCAACCTCAAAATGAACAGTATTAAAAAAAAATCTAAATGAATTCAGCTCTATTCTGTCTCCATTAGTTCTGGAGCCAGTTATTTCTGCTGTGCTACCTGACTTCCACAACTGTCTCCGGCTGTCATGACCACATATGACGTAGTTACAGAGAAAGGGCAGGAGGGACGAAGAGGAGAGGATACTGCTTGAGTTTGTTCTGACTCTCAGTTCACCCATAATGGTTGAAAATTAGAGGAAGAAGTTAGTAATGCATATTTTAAATCAGGTAATATAGTCATCTCAAACCTACCATCCCTTCATTCCAAATTGGTTTGTTGCTGCATTTCACCAGCTCTAGTCTGTATTACTCGCTCATATATTTACCACTCCACTGTTGCCATGAATATTTTATTACAAGAAAAGTAAAAATTGATGTTCCTGGGTTAGTTTGCATAAAATCAATGAGATGTTGCAAAACCCTTGTAAATCTTAGTGTTGTAAAATTAGCCTGAACTACACAGATTTATTAGAATTACAGGCAAAGCTATCCCCTTAAACTTTTTTCTTTTGAAACTGAAACCTGGCCAGTGATGAAGATGTCTCTCTACCAGTCAAATAACCATGCAAGTGCATCTCCACACACCCCTATGTCGTAGACACAGATCAGACATCCTACTTCGGCTGTTAACAGTGTCTATTTGATATAATAATTCACATATACATAAAAGACTAGGCAGTATGATTTCATAGGCACTGAGCAAAGCCTACAAGCTGACAAGGCAGAGAAACAGCACCAGTGCAGCAATAGCAGGCAGGAAGATCTCAAAGAGAAGCCAAGATCACACAGGAAGAAGAAGATGTGTTGCCAATGGCAACAGAACAGACACGCACACCGCTCATTTGATGTAATCCTGAAATGATGGCCTCGATATGCACTGCCACTTGGCGAGAGGAGAGTCCTTTTCAGCAGTGAAAGGAGGGAAGGGCATCAATTCCAAGAAATAATCCCAACCATTTTTATTCCCTCTTTTTTTTAGTGCTGTAGCTGTATTGCCTGCTTTTGTAGCAGTCTCTATGGACAGCCACACATATATGCACACACACACTCTCTCAGGCACTGGAATTTAGAGGAACTGAGTGCACACTCAGTACCCTATGGAACTCTGTATCATCTGTAATTTAATTTACATGGCAGCCCCAGCACTTGTGTTGTAGATGGGGGAGAAGGATGCACAGCCCAGTCCACTGGATGTGGCTGAATTTCTAAAGACAATAATTATAGCATGAAGATGGTAATCACGTCATGTTTGGCTATAGGAGCAAGGTTCACTGTAGCTAACACCACAGGAACACCTTGCTCATTCAGGACTGCCTGGTGCCAGCTTTGAGTCTGTAGCCTAGCCTGACCACCCCACCCAAAATGTTCTAGATTCTCCTGTGATTTTAAACTCCACACCCTCAGTTTTTCAATTCAGGTTTTTTGTTAAAAAATATATATATATATTGTCTCATCCCAAGATTACCTTGATCCCATCATCAAGGTCACTCCTCCAGAAACACAGAAGAGATTATACAAATGTTTCACAGGCTGAATAGTACATGACAAATAAATCTGCTTGATTAGCAAAATCTGTAGGCTAGAACAGGCTAGAAGAAACACAGTAACCACTGAACGGCTACCACCATTTTTATCTCATTATCAATTCAAAGATCAGTAGAGCAACAGTGTCCAGTGGTAACTCTCATTATATTGGTGCTATGATTGATGACATTTAGATCACACAATCATTTGTTTCAGTGTCAGTATAAAAAATGTTGACTAATGTAGGCTGTAAGGTAGAACTTACTGAGACATAATTACATCACCAAAAAACTATTTATTTAAAGCAGCTATAATATATATTTTTACATTGTACAGTAAGTGGAAGGCGTTGCTATTGTGACAAAATCTAAATCAAGTGAGATTAATGGAATCTCCTACTTGCACTGTAAGTATTTTGCAGTGACAAGTTGAGTGTGACCATCTGACAAATAAAGGCACCTGATTTTTTTGTGCTGATATATTCTCAGGCTTAAACAAGATGTCTTCCCCTGTGGAGCCGGAGAGTATGTTCATGCATGCCAAATGACCTAGTTTGCAAGTGCGTTATACTGAACACTGACACACTAGCAATGAATGATTAATTTAAAGTCAGCCAATCAGATAATGCAGAGTGACTACTTAAACAACAGTCATTGGCAGGCACACTGCCTTCTACAAAGGCATCATGCAGCACTTAACCTACACAGGAACAGGAGATTCTTCCTCAGTGAAAACAAAGCAATGAATCCCTTGATAGTAGAATGAAATCCATCCATCCATTATCTATACTACTTAGCCTGAAGCTGGGAAATAGAGACTCCTACATCAGGTTATTTTTCATTGACTACAGCTCCACCTTCAACACAGTTGTCCCCCACAAACTCACCCACAAACTGTCCACACTGGGTCTGCACCCCACCCTCTGTGACTGGCTCCTCACTTTCTGACTGGCAGGCCCCAGACTGTCAGGATTGGCAATAGGTCCTGAGCCAGCATTGTTACAAACACTGGAACCCCACACGGATGTGTCCTCAGTCCCATCCTCTACACCCTGTTCACCCACGACTGTGTCGCCTCCCACAAGGATAACATTATCCTAAAGTTCGCGGACGACACCGCAGCGATAGGTCACATCACTGGGGAGGGGACGAAGCAGCCTACAGGAGGGAGGTGGCCAGTCTGGTGTCATGGTGCAAGGACAATAATCTCAGCCTCAACACGGACAAGACGAAGGAGATGATAGTGGACATGAGGAAGGAGAGGAGATCTCATCGGCCACTGTTCATCTGGGGGCTCAAAGTGGAGAGGGTGAGCAGCTTCTCCACATCAGTGAGGACCTCACTTGGATACTTAACACCACACAGCTGGTCATGAAGGCCCAACAGCGGCTGTACTTCCTGAGGAGGCAGAAGAGGTTTGGCATGTCACCTAGGATGCTGCTGTCACATTCAGAGAGGATGTTCAGGGTGACTGGAGGATGACATATTGCATGCTGCCACAGGAACAATAATGCATAGGGAAACATCCAAATCATGCTACACAAGGGGATGAAATGTCAGAAATAAATACATAAATCACAGAACCAGTAAATAAAGAAATTAAAAGAAGAAAAACCAGAGACATCTGTAGCAGATTTCTGGGTGATTGTAAACTTGCCCTCTGCTCTGTTTGGTGATCACATGATCAGGCTGGACAGCTCAACAACAACTCAGGTCTGGCAGATCATTTCCAAAGACCATTTCAATAACTCTTGCTTTTTCCACATGAGGAAGGAGAGAAGAACTCATCATCACGCAGCTCCCATGTAGCATACATTCTCCCTTCATTATAGTGTGTTCTCATTGTATTCTTCATTATACTTTTCATCGGTTGTTTTACAGTGCGTTAGAACCTATATATCTGCATTATATTTCACTTATATTGTGTGGCATTCATTGTGGATGGCAAAGTAAGAATTTCATTGTACAGGGAAACATGTTTCCTCACTGTGCATATGACACTTGACCTTGGCCTTGAAGATGGTCATGGGGGGCTGGAGCCAATCCCAGTTGACAATTGGGTGAGAGACGGGCTACACTCTGGACAGGTCGCTAGTCTATCACAGGGCTGACATGTAGACAAACAACCACACACTCACACTCACTCCTAGCGGCAATTTAGTGTCATCCATCAACCTAAGCTGCATGTCTTTGGACTGTGGGAGGAAGCCGGAGTACCCGATGAGAACCCAAGCTGGAACAGGGACAACATTCAAAGTCTGCACAGAAAGACACCAGGTAGACCATGACTCATACCCAGAACCTTCTTGCTGTGAGTGCATACCACTGTTCCACCATGTTACCTGGAGTTAAGTCACATGGGGAAATAATCTATACTGGTGATTAGCACCTATAGGGGGCAGTGATGAAGAACTTGTTTCAGTGACACAGAAAGTCTGTTTTCTGTGGTAAATCCATTTTCTGCATGCAGCTGAGAATGTGTCTGCTACAGAAACACATCAGCTATAAAACACAAGGCCCTATGTGTAATTAGCCTGTTTACATTGACTAAACTGCATTACATTGCAGACTTTATAACAAAAACATTGATCTCAGCCTAGTGTAATTTAGAGATGTTTCTCCACCCAGTGGACAAAAATAAAGTCTCATATCAAATAGGAAAAAAACTCTTTTAAGTAGTCTATAATTTGGAATATTGCTAAAAGGGGTCTCACATGTAAGTTTATTGATTATGGAATTTTTTGATGCTTTTACCCACACTAGCCTGAAAACCCCAGAAATATCAGCATAAAAAGTTCCAAGAATGAAAACTGGAGCAGTGGCTAACTCCACCCATTCCTCCCTTGACTTACACTTAAAGTCTGGAGGTAATAACCCCAACATCAGTATCCTCTACCAGGTACAAATGTCATGAACTCCTTTTACAATCAACCAAATGTAACTCATTCTTTACATTTTTCTAAACCATGATACTCATTTTTCCACTCCAGAATCAACTCTCTCCACTTTTCTTCAAGGTCCATATCTGTGGTTCAGCCCACTTACTACACACCTTTTGTTCTCTGCATTAGTCCAGACCATTTTTCAAAGAAATTGTCAGGTTTCTCCAAGCAGATTCTCATACAGCACTCATACA